ATCATTCAATCATTGTCGAGAGTTAGTTTCCTCAAACTCAGTCCACTATATACATCCATATACACTCAAAATAAAGATCATACACATCATCAAACACCACAAAACATGCTTCAAACATAACAAAAACACGTCCTCACCTAACATATACTTAAATCATACATTTCATCACAACATTTTCATGAATACAAGCATTCAACTTTATTAGTAACAGAATAAAGCTCTCCTTACCTTGAAATGGAAGTTTAGTAAAAGGGGTTTTTAGGATTCTTGCTTAAAACGTGAGGTTCTTCTTAAATATCACAAGAGATCTCATTTAGAAAAGGAGAATCAAGAAAATAACTAAAGGAAAAGAGAACCAAGCTTCAAGAACGTACCAAACAACAAGAAAAGTGAACTGTCAAGCTTTGATCGGAGAAAGGTTGAGATTTTTTAAGAATTTGCTGAGAAAATAAAGAGAGAAATCCGAGAGAATGTAGAAGGTTGTAACTTGAATTATAATCCAAATTTCTCAACTTGGAAACCTTTAAATACCCCTCAACTCGCAACATTCTCGCTACAGTAAGTCAATTCTCGCTACAGCGAAAAACTAGAAAAAATTGCACTTTGTTGTTTGTCATTCTTGCTACAGCGAGAGCTCCTCACTACAGCGAGAGAACGTCAAAATGCCTGATTCTGGATACTGATTTCTCGCTATAGCGAGACACATCTCGCTACAGCAAAAAATCCTGCAACTCAAACATCTAAAACTCTCCTAATTTCAAGCAATATGCATTAAGAACTTATATCAAATACAAAATTAATAAATACTAAAATAGGGGTGTTACATTTGACCTCTAACAAATTATCTGATGATTTAATTGTATTTAAATGGCATGTTACCATGATTGTGGATCTTTATTTGAAAGTTGACATATGTTTGATTATTCTGTGAATGATATGGAAATATGATTTTTGAATTGAATCCAGAAGTGTCTAACCTTCGGCATTGTTGATAATTTTATGATAAAAATGATGAATTTATATCATGATGAGAAATGAAAAAGATGAAAGTTGTGCTATGACAAAAGGTGATAGAAATACATATGGATAGTTATAGAGATACACTAAGAATATGGAAGACAGAGTCAATTTTTGAAAAATTAAAAGAAATGTAGGGTGGTAAATGGTTGTCGTTAGTTGCGCGTAATTAATAAGAGCAAAAATATTGCAGGCTTTATACTTATTTCTTGTCTATATTTTTTGCTAAAAAGGGTGGTATTGGCACACATTGTATCCATATTACTAACTAGCGATTATCTGTACTTATGGAAGACTTCAAGGGATCCCAAAGATAATGATGGTGTGATTATAATATATGTGTTGTAACATAATGATTGTATAATTATAATATGAGTTGAAACACTAATATTAATATGATTATAATGTATGTATTGTAATACATCGACGAACGTGATTATAATACATGTGTTGTAACATATTAATTAATATTATTATAATACACGTATTATGACATATTGATTGGTGTAAACATATATTAAATAGTATGTTCTTAGTATATATTTTAAAATATTGTTGATATGATTGTCATCATATTTAATATGTTGTGAATTTGTTGAATCATTACTTCAATTTGATTTTAATGGTGAGACAAAGACTAATTCTTGCATTTTCAAGAAATAGAGTATGACCATTCTCAAATGACTGGTTAGATTGATCCAAACTAAGATCATATTCTCTGAGTTTTAGTGTGAGAGTGATTTGCTCGTTAAGATTTAATGTATTTTGATTTTTCTTCTTTTTGTAATTATTTAATTTAAGTTCTAATGTATTTTTACCATAACTTGTAAATATTGTACTCATATATTTCAATATTACAAATGAAGTAATTGTTTAATGCTATTCAAATTTTATTTTATTTAGTAAGTTATATTATGACGAGAAATGTTTAATTATGCTTTAAATTCTATTATTTTAAGTAATTATTAAATTTTAAAGATTGACAGATGAAAAATAAAATTTTAAATTTTTGCAAGTTTTTTCGTATTAAAATTGAGAAAAGATAAGATAATCTATTTAAGATCTTAAATTCATTATAAGTTATCATAGAATTGTTTATAAAAATACAAGCATCACATTATGTTGATTCTTATAAAGTTTTATTGAATATTTTTTGATAATCTTAAAAAAAAATCTATTTTTAGAAAAGTGCTGCTTGAATAGTTTAAAAAAAAAATAGTTATTAAGCCTAAAAAAGATAGTGCAATTATACTTAAAGAATAATACACTTTGTATTTGATTAAATTAATTTCAAGTGAAATTTTTAGTAAGTTGTCAAAAATCCGACATAATTTTAAGTTTGTAGAATGAAATGGTATATCTCTCAATATTCTTTCTCTCTTCCCTGTCTCTTATTTATTTTCTCACAAAAATAGTTAATTGAATTGGATACTTTAGTTTTTGAAAGTATTTAGCTAAATCCATCAAATTTTGTTAAATACAATAATTGTTTAATCAATTGAAAACCATTTAACAAAGGCATTTTATCTTCTTGCAAAAATTTCTAAAAGAAGGAAAATCTAAATTCAACTCCTTTCGTGTGTTTCTCTATTTTCCTTTTCAATAATTTAATTAAAAATAAAGATAGGTTGACTTCTCAAAACTGGTTTTTAGAAAAGAAAAAAAAAATGTAAAAATATAAGTCCACCATACAACAATTTATCCTGGTTTACCTACCTCCAGATACTAAATGTTATGTCTAGTATTATGTACATAATAGCCTCTGTAAGATTTAGTACTTCTCGCCAACATTAAGGCTCACTACCAATTTTAGTATATTTTTCCTTATACAAGAACATTTTTGGGTTTAGATATTTGAGTCTATATAAATGCTTAAGGAAAAGATAAAATAAAATAAAATTCACTACCTTATTAAACCAAACAAATATTTCAACATAGTATGTAGTTGATGAAAAAGATGTTCACTCGTATATGATCAACAAGTTGTTCTAGACTTCAACAAGTTTAATTGCGATTAGCTCTACATTTCTTAATTGATTTTTCTCTTTTTATATGGTGGATACATTTTATTGTATCTAGTATGACAGTTAGAAACAAGCTAAGATAGGTGCTGCAATTTTTTGTGCATTTTGAAACCCTTTTTTACTGCGTTAAAAGAGTTCCCAACTTTTTGTCTGCTTTTTTATTTTTCATGTTCTGGTTGATGTGAACTTGTTGATGCATACTTACTCATTGAACTTTCTCTTGAGATCTTTCTCATAGATCTTCATTTATGAATTTTTGTAGGTCTTGTGTAGCTAGTCTTATTCATGTATTGTGTTTGTTTGAACTAGCTCATGGAACTTGCTCATATTGTCTTGTCAGAAATTTTCTCAAGTCTAAAACTCCTGTGCTTTTTGATATCTCCAAAAACCTGACATTGTTTAAGCATGATGCAATATTAATTGATTGGAAGATTTTGTTATTCAAGATAAATGGCTGTGGAGATTTTAAGTATTAATATGGTTCATTAGACTTATTTGTCTAAACATGCTCACGTGAATTTGATAAGGTGTAATCTTATGACAACGTACTTTTAAAATTTTGATTTGTGGCTTGGTTTTGCATCCATCCTTGAAAGCAAAATTCAAGCATACTTTTTTGAGCTCTAACGAATTATAACTTCACCAATTCTGCAATTCTTATATTTCTTTGACCATTAACAACATAGACAAATTGTTATCAAACTTTGGCAAGTTGATTCAAAGAGAACTTGTAGATTTTTTTCCTTTTACTAGATAAAATCACCATAATGGCTATGTGGTGCATCTAGTCTTCCCTTAATACATCTTAAAGAGTTTTATTTTTTTATATACAACAACGTATTGAATCAATGACTTAAGTCTATGAACTTGTTATCAACAAAACACAGTATACTTAGAAATATTTGACTTATACACACTTTAAACACAAACGATTATCTTGGGACAAAATACTATCATATACAAGTTAATCTTTACAACTATAAATTATTCTAAACTTATTTACATACGTAATCAAGTTAGTCATATATTTTAGTGTTGTTTTTCTTTTAAATTAGAGTTAACATTAATAATGTGTTTATAATACTGTAACTATGTTCTGTTTTTATATTTGAGCCTTATGTATAATATCGCATATGGTATCTATTTTTAGTTATTCAAACAATATAATTGTATGTACTATGTCAGAAGTGAATTTTATCATAATGTTGAAAGGATATAAGTACAGTATTGAGTACTCAATATGGGTATGGATACTAAATTGAAAAATTATATAAAAAAAGTATGAATACTAAATAAATTTTAAAATTAAAATAAAAACCCAAATACGTCTATCGTCTACCAATACCCAACGTATAGTAGATATGGATGCATTGCACAAAATAAAAATGCTCAAGCTTCATAGATGAAGGGACCAGCAGTAATTTCACCTATTAATGCCTTCTCTGAAGTGCACATGAACGACATGAATGCTTTAACCCCTCCTCATCCATCTCCTCTCCTCCAAGTTTCACGCTTTTCTTCAATGTCCTTCCTTCTTTTATGTCATGTCAGCCCTAGTCAGAAGCACAGATGGTATTGGTAAATGAATTCAATAAATGAATTTAGTGGATTAAATGCACTGGACACACTAGAACTTTGCTCTAGAACCTGCTACTTGCTTAATTGCCCATGCCCTTAAAAGAAAATAGGAATGTTTCATATGCTTGATCCTCCCCAATTTATCTTAGGCACTGCCTTCCCATCTCCCTTAACTAAGAGCAATTTCGGAATCAACATTGCAATAGTTAGGTCCATTTTATTTATAAGGCAGTAGAGAAAACCGTGACACCTTATATAAGTATAACCCTTCATTAATACACACCCTTTTTTATGTGCATACCTTGTCTGCTTTTTCCTAACTAGTATCTCTATTTATACGGCTATCCCATTACTCAAGTTCCCCAATAGAAGCAATCCTGTTTTCCCCAACAAAAGAATCTACAACCCCTTCTCTCTCCTACTCATAAGATCCATGTCTTGCCAAACAACATTCACATGTCTTTGTTTCTTGTGAAACAAAAGATAAAATTATTTCCAACTTTTTGCTTGAAGTTGGTTCTCCACTAACAACTGCCCCTCTCTATCCACACAGCTAAACTCTTCTTCTATGTGCTAAATGCTAATGCTCTGAAAGCAAAACTCTACCTCTACACCATAAAGACACCATTCGGACACTTCCCTCCATTTTTTTACCAAAGTTGGCCATGAATCCCATAACCCTCTTGCTTCTTTTACCCTTGTTTACACAGTTTTTGGAAGTTGAGCCTGCAAGACCCAAACCTCCAGGGAAAACCAGGTTCCCCATCTCACAAATCAGTGTGATGGGTTTTGTTTATTGTGATTTCTGCTCCAACAACAGCTTTTCCCGACACAGCTACTTCTTGTCAGGTGATGAGTCTCATTTCTTAACAACCTCTGGTTAGATAGTGTTGCAATGTAACTTAAGTTGCATATGTTCTATTGCTAGTAGATTAGATTCAATTATTTAGTGAAACCTTTTTTCTAACCTTATGAAAAAATAACATTTAATTTTGAACAGTATGTATGTCTTAGTTTACATTTAGTTAAATAATCATTTATTTTTTCTAAATAAGCTGAATCAGAAAATGGGATGCTTCTTAGTTCTTACTCTTGTTTTTTTGTTTTCTTTATAATCATCTCCAGGTGCTGAGGTCAGAGTAGATTGCATGTTCAAAGCACTCTCTGAGAAAACTGCAGAACAGATTTCACTTTCAGTGAACAGAACAACCAATAAGTATGGAATGTACAAGCTAGAAATCCCTTCAGTTGATGGAGTGAGATGTGCAGAAGATTCTGAAGTCGTGTCTTCATGCCAAGCAAGCTTAATAGAGAGTTCATCTTCTGCTTGCAATGTTCCTGGCTACAAAACTACTTCTAATGTCATAGCAATCAAAGCAAGAAGAGCCAATCTCTGCATATACAGCTTCAATGCTTTAACTTTCAGACCACCCAAGAAGGACATCACCTTATGTGGTAATTAAAAGAAGCAGCCTACACAAGTAGCCTAGTGCTTGGTTACTTGTGTATACATACAAATTCCAAGGAAAAAAAAACTCATAATGTTCTCTTTTTCCACTCCATTGAGAACATAGATCTCTTCTCTCACTTTCTCTGCCTCTTCATTGTTTCACTGCATTATTTGTTTGGTAATACTATTATCATATCATGCTGTGCTAAAAAAAAATGTCCTGCAAGTAGAGTTTGGGTGTAAAATTAAGATAATTTGATTTTATGCAGTTAATTAGGTCATGTTAAAATGTACCAGATAGATGTATATAATTTCTCTTGTGAAATTGTAAAGAACAAGCGAGTTGTCCAACAAAGCAACGATATGAATAAATTAGTTAATGTAATGTATATCATAGTTCCTGTATAAATAGACACTTCTTATAAATAGCAAAAATAGCAAAAAAAAAAATAAAAAAAATAGACACTTCTTATAAAGAGAAGGAAGAAACAGCATATATATCAAAATCAAAATAAACGGGGAATCTTTTGTGCAGAGCAAGTTTTACGACTATTTATACATTTTAGAACTTGAAAGATGATCGATTTTATTAATTTGAGCAGCATTGTAGGTTATAATAATTAAAAGGTACATAATTCAATATCATAATACTGTTAAATGTTATAAGTTTTAATAAAAAAAGATTATTATACATATGATTTATTATGAGTTTAATTAAGTGTTTAGTTAGACAACTGAGAATTAATTCTTACCAAAAATTTTATTAAAATATAATCTTTATTTTTTTTTCTTATACTTTATTTATTAGTCTCTTTAATTGATATGATGATACTCGGTAGTATCTAATGGGCTATATCAACTATAATGACTAAAAATAAACTATAAAAAAGAAAAGAGAGACTATATCTTAAAAAAAATTATATGAGAAGTAAATTTAAATTGTGAAACTTCAGGGACTAAATAGTTAATTAAGTTTTTTATTATACTTAATATTAATCGAAAGGCATAAATACCTATTATGGGTTGGTCTAGAAGTTTAGCTCCCTAGTTGTCTACTTACTAACAAATTCACCTTAGCAAAGTTGTCAAGGTTAGCATAAGTTCATCAGTATAGGACCAATTGGTATTTTAAGAAAACTTCCAAAAGATAGGTCATGTGTTATGCTGAAAACTAATATTTGCTAAATGCAAATTGACAATTGATAAAAAAGAAATCGCATTCTAGGAAAATATCCGAACGAGGTAACATGAGTCGTTATTTCTAAATTAATAGCCATATCTGCAATTCTAAATTCCTAATGTTATTAGATCATTCACTAATATTTTGTAGAATTTGCCACAATATCATGAAGAGTAAGTGTCCTTTGTCGATTATATACGGGCCCTCAAGCATGATGCAACTTGCCATTAACTCCAGAACCCCGTACAAAGAATATGTCGGGTAATTATCATATATTGTCTCTCTGGTCCTTATTAGCTCCACAGTGGGAGATCGATGCCACCAGAACATGTATGGCCTAATCAATTAACAAATGACAACAAGAAGAATGACAACAATATACTATTTATCAGAAATGGCTATGAAATTATGGATTTTGTTGAACTAAATATATTTTTATCAGAAATTATAACTTCATGAGTAATATTAAATATTATATTTTTCAATAAAACTTTAATCATAGAAAAATACATATGTTTAATAATTAAAATTAGTACTTTGCTTTTTCTATTTGTTTTCTTGTTTCGATTGTACTTTTTTAAAAAAAAAATTAGTCTTCTATTTTTATTTTTATATTTTGTTTCAATTTATTGCTTTTATTTTATTTTGGTCATCTAACTTTTAAATATAAATCAAATAAATCACTTTTTATTAACTATATTTAACTTTGGTAATTAATATTTTTATCTTTCTCTCTTTTTTAATGTTGTCTCCTTCCTTTGTTGGATTGATGTAGTTAAATGTAATTAAAAATACTTATTTGATTAACATTTGTAAGTAAAAGTATTAAAAATAAAATAAAATAAAGTTAAAACGATAAATCACAACAAAATATAAAATTAGAGGACAATGTTTAAACCCAATAGCGGGCATATGCTAGGGCTGATGGCTGTAATGATGTTGACGAAAAAGAGAGAATCCAATTTTTCCATTCAGCATGTCTGATTTCTCTTCAAGAACTCTGTGGGAATGGTGTGCTTCTCTTTAAGAAAATAGCACTTTAAAGAAGAATAGAATACTACTCATTGAGCCCTAAAAGTTAAAGGGAGAAAAAAGGGACTCCGGCTAAAATGAGTTACAAGTAAACAGTTAGCATGTTTAAACTATTAAATATATTTTTTAAAATATTAATGGGTCAGATTTTTTACCTATATTTAATCATTTCAATTTTTATATATTTAAGATTTAATCTTTCATAAAAATTTATAAAATTGCTCTTTAGACTTTCAAAACTTATTATTTTAGATTTTTAAAAGTTTGTATTGATAGTCAATTTTTTTTTTTCACGCAAATCTTGTATGCATATCTTATCTAAATAGTGATTTTAAGAATTAAAACTTTCACATGCACTAATGCAATTTCAATTTATAATCAAAAATAACTTTTTAAGTAATAGAATATTGAATGTCATTTTAGAACTTTAGGGATTTTTGCAACACTTATGTATGAAGTTCATGATTTTTAGAATTAAAACTTTTATATCCACTCTCATAATCTCAATTTATCATGAGAATAAGTTTTTGTATTGATAAATTGTTCAATGTCATTTTAGATTTTCTGCATGTCCTACCTGCACATTAGTCACATCTCATGCGCATAATTTTTGCAACTTTCACTTAATGCATATTCACTTTGCTTAAGCAAAAGTTGTAGAAAAGAAAAATAATTCACTAGATGAATATTACTAAAGCAGTAAATAATTCACTAAAGTCACACAAGATACTCTAAAATTTGCTTAAGCGAATAAATTTTAGCTTAATCAAATATTAAGTTAAGAAAGCCTTCATATTATATCACATTTTTGCTTATTATGACTTAAGCGAAAGAACTTAGGCTTAAGCAAATGTCTTTCAATTCTCAGTGTGTTGAGTTACATTATATTTGGATTTATAATTGAATAGATGTATTAATAATTTTTCTTATTCAATCATCTTGAAGTCATGTGCAAACCAAAACTAAACTAGGTTCATCTTTTGGAGGACAACCAGAGGTTAATTATTTTAAATATGGGTTTTAAAGAATTGAATTATAAAAATATAAAGTTTATGGTGTCTTTACGGTAATATGTTCTATCAAAAAATGTCATTGTCATTTTTTTGCCTTGCTTAGAGTTGCAAAATGTCACGACCCCTTTTATAAGAAACTGAGAACATTATTTTTACATCACAAACTTATTTAAGATAAATAAATAATAGAGAATATAAGTATAAAATTCACTTTTCATTCAAAATAAAACAAAGTTTCTTACAACAAATATCCAATAAAACAACATAATATTACATTTAGTTCATAATATTCAAAATACCCAAAATTATACTACGTAGTTCCCTCTACATGAGGTCTTAAAATATAAGAAAAAAGGACTTTGATGCAATATTACTTGACTCCAGCTTCTAACATTTCTTCACTGGCCCCTCAGCCTGTGAAGTAGATGCAACACTTACTACATCTGCTCACGTACCACCATACGATCATCGCAGTACACACGCACACAACGACATAGAAAGAAATGCAAGGATGAGCTTACAAAAATAAAATAAAATCATATATGTAGAGCAAAATATTTCTCACAGCAATAGCCCCATGCATTCCCAACCCATCTAATGCACAGCATGAAAACGGTTTCCAACTGATTTCACAGCCTAAGTAATCTAGAAGGAATATAGCCGGTCCGGGAGCGACCCATTCCGGTATCTGGATCCAGACAGCACAGCACAGTAGCTCAGTATGAACTTACCGTTACACGTCTACCCACCTAAACATGTAACTCGGCTCTATAATGATGCAAAACATATCAGCATGATGCACACCGCTAAAATTATTTTAACAGCTCAGCTAAGGCAAGTTTAAGATAGATCAGTCAAAATCTCAGCATTTTAAATCAATTAACAATTGTCACAGCTTAAAAAATAGCTTTTATTCAATAGATCTAACAAAATCATATCAAAACATCTTGAAATAGCATATTAAACCGTTCAAAATGTAGTTTATAGGTTAAAGTAAGCTCCCCTTACCTCAGAACTATGATTCACACTAGATCTACCGAATATTACTTGTTTTATAGCAAGATTCACCAAAGATTTGGCTTTAGAACAGAGTTTCTCCTAAGAACACCATGAACTTCTATGAGAAAGAAGAGAAGAAGAAGAGAAACGAACGGTAAATCTAGCTTCAAACTTAAAGAAACTTACTTCAAATCCCTCAAAATAGACGTAGAATCTCAGATCTCGCGAGAAATCTAAGTTTAGGAGGGTTTAGTATGAGAGAAAATGGTGTTATTTGGCCTTAGAACCTTTGAGAACCTTGGATATGAGTAAAGGAATGAAAATTTCGTGTGAAGCCCCCTTTTTATAGAAAATTTTTGAAATTACTGTTCACCGCGCGGAAATTACTGTTCATCGCCAGAAATACTGTTCACCGCCTTACTGTTCACGCTGAAAATACTGTGCACATGTACTGTATACGCACTGTACGCGTACGTGACGTCAGCCATGACGTCATGATGATATCACTGATGACGTCAGCGGTCACTGTACATACGCGGTTTACACTGTTTATAGGCAGTTTTACTGTTCATACGGTACTGTTCACTTTTTTTTTTTTTAATTTCAAACTCTATCTAATTATATTCCAATACCAAATAATCCTTCAATTAACATTTAACAAGTATAAAATATTATAGATTACTCAATAATAAATCATAAGCCTGACACAAAACAAATTTCAATCATGGTTGAACAATGAATTGGTACACCTTGAATTAAAATATAATTCAGAATTAAAATCAAAACAATTTGTGATACAATGATGGATTTGTGAATTACTTTTCAAAATTAATACGTATCAAAAGTTGTCATTAGTAGTTATACCAAAATTTTACCATATAAAATAAAAAAAAGCTTAGCTAAGGTCTTTATGAGTGTCTCCACAAGTTTTATCACAAGGAAAGAGTGATGTGTTAGGGTATGCAAA